GCAATTTCTGAATTATGATCGTTAAGATTCTTAATGATCATAATTCTGCAATTTCTAAATTATGATCGTTAAGATTCTTAACGTCATAATTCTGCAATTTTTGAAATATGATCGTTAAGAATCTTAACGTCATAATTTAGCAATTTCTGAAATATGATCGTTAAGAATCTTAACGATCATATTTTAGAAATTGCAATATTATGATCATTAAGATTCTTAACAATCATATTTCAGAAATTGCAGAATTATGACGTTATGAATCTTAATGATCATAATTCAGAAATTGCAGAATTATGATCATTAAGAATCTTAACGATCATATTTCAGAAATTGCAGAATTATGATCGTTAAGATTCTTAACAATGATCATTGAGAATCTTAGCAATCATAATTCTATTATGATCGTTAAGAATCTTAATGATCATATTTCAGAAATTGCTAAATTATTATATTTTATAAATTGCAGAATTATGATCGTTAAGAATCTTAATGATCATATTTCAGAAATTGCAGAATTATGATCATTAAGAATCTTAACGATCATATTTCAGAAATTGCTAAATTATGATCATTAAGAATCTTAACGATTATATTTCAGAAATTGCGGAATTATGATCGTTAAGAATCTTAACGATCATATTTCAGAAATTGCAGAATTATGATTGTTAAGAATCTTAACGATCATATTTCAGAAATTGCTAAATTATGATCGTTAAGATTCTTAACGATCATAATTTAGCAATTTCTGAAATATGATCGTTAAGATTCTTAACGATCATAATTTTGCAATTTCTGAAATATGATCGTTAAGATTCTTAACGATCATATTTCAGAAATTGCAAAATTATGATCGTTAAGAATCTTAACGATCATATTTCAGAAATTGCAGAATTATGATCGTTAAGAAACTTAACAATCATAATTCTGCAATTTCTGAAATATGATCATTAAGATTCTTAATAAATAATTGCATTAATCTTTAGTCTTCAATATTTCCATTTTAACTACTATAAAGGTATAAATAATATCAAATATTTAACTTTAAAATTTATGTGTACTTATAGAGTTTTGCAAAAATATTAATAATTATATTTAAATGATTCTATAATTTTTCTATTATTCATGTTTAATATAAAAAAAAATAAATCTAGAAATTGTTTAAGTCATATTAGATTAAAGGTAAATTTAATTTATATATTTCTTTATACAGTCAATAAGTTATTAAATTTAATTAAATTAGTATAGTTAAATATTGATATATATTACATTTCAATTCAATTATATATAAGTTAATATAAGTTAATTTAAAGGGGAATTTACTAATAAGGACCCGGAAAGTGAAAATAATTACAAATACGGCCCACATTAAAAATAATTACATATAAGGGCCTAATTTTAAAAATATTACATATTAGGGCCCAAAATCTATTGATAGTTAGGAAAAACGGATCACGGGCTTATAACGATAGCAAAATCGCGATTATAGGATTATCGATTGTTTTATTATAGACGTTTAGAGTTATCTATATACTGATTACTGTATTAGATAAAAGGATAAATGAAGTGCTAGTTATAATTATTTATTAACATTAATAAATTTTTTTTTTAGAGTCAAGGATCTTCAAAATGGTTGCCAAACTATCCAGTATCTGCTAAAAATTCTAATAAAAAGATACCAAATGATGAATTTATTAGAAAATTAACTACAGCCTCATCTGACGATATGTATGTATCTATAAATATTGTAAATGAGAGCGCTGAAGAAGATTATATAGCAAAACAATTAGCTCAATTATTCGCAACGGCTTATAGCAGTGAAAATGAACTTCAACGAATTAAGCAAAAAGAAATTCGAAATTGGTATAACTACGCTGAAGTATTTGAAACCAGAGTAAGTGAACTAATAGCAGATGGTTTCGAAGACCATACTGCACGAACTGCACTATATGATGAAATGATGCCATTAATTTTGGGTATCACACGGGAGAACTTGCGACAAAGAACGCATAAAGCTCGGGTAATTTTTAGATTATTTAGCAATATTGCTGTATTGGAGTAGATAAAATCCAAAATATTGATTATAGTGCAGATTCTATTTCATATTATACTATCGATGATATTAATTTGATTATTAATTTTGTAAAATATAGCAATAATTAGCTTTATGTATTAAATGTATTAAATTTATTAAATTTATTATTGCTTGTATTTGTTAAAAAACGCTATTGAAAAAAATTTCGCTACTAATATATTTTAAAAAATTCTATAAAAGTATTCTGATTTATTATTCTACTGCTATTAAATTTATATAATCGATTAGTATAGGTATTGGAATATTGGAATATCGCACACCCCAATGTCGCAAGTCCAAGAATCATTTTAAGACACTGTGGATTAATAGCTGTCAAGTATAATGTCAAGAAATTTTCAAAGTAATGATAAAATTTATGACGATCTATATGTTTTGTGAAAAGATAGTTTTCGCCTATAAGTTAACATTTGTATTTTACAATTTAACTGGTATTCTTTTTATACAAACAATTTTGATATTTCATATTTTTATACTATTTGTCTTTTTACTTTTTTACTTTTTAGACCAGAATTTTATTCTGAAAATAGCGTTTTAAAATTTAGTAATAATAATGCATTTTTAAATTGATTATAATTTGATATTTGCAAGTTTAAAAGTTTAAAATTTGTAAAGCATTTATTATTTCAATATTCGTTTAATAAATTTATATATGCCTACTTAAATTTAATAATTTTTATTATATAACATCTTTGGTAGAACTTGTTAATCCACTTTGAAAACAATCTACATTTAACTAGCAATAAACTAATTAAGAATCTACGCCTACTTAAATTTATTAATTTTTATTATATAACATCTTTAATAGAGCCTGCTGATAGCAATCTACATTTAGCTAGCAATAAACTAATTAAGAATCTTAACTGAAATATGATCGTTAAGAATCTTAACTGAAATATGATCGTTAAGAATCTTAACAATCATATTTCAGAATTGCAGAATTATGATCATTAAGATTCTTAACGATCATATTTCAGAAATTGCAGAATTATGATCATTAAGAATCTTAACGATCATAAGTCTGCAATTACTGAATTATGATCGTTAAGAATCTTAATGATCATAATTCTGCAATTACTGAAATATGATCGTTAAGAATCTTAACGATCATATTTCAGAAATTGCTAGATTATGATTGTTAAGAATCTTAACGATCATAATTCTGCAATTTCTGAAATATGATCGTTAAGATTCTTAACGATCATAA